TCTCGCTCTGTCGCCCAGGCTGGAGTGCAGTGACCCAGATCTCAGCTCACTGGCTCACTGCACGCTCCGCCTTCCGGGTTCACGCCATTCTCCTGCCTCAGCCTCCCGAGTAGCTGGGACTACAGGCGCCCGCCATCACGCCCGGCTAGTTTTTTGTATTTTTTAGTGGAGACGGGGTTTCACCGTGTTAACCAGGATGGTCTCGATCTCTTGACCTCGTGATCCGCCCGGCTCGGCCTCCCAAAGTGCTGGGATTACAGGCTTGAGCCACCGCGCCCAGCCTCATGTTTTCTTAAAATTGTCTTTTATTGATATTCTCTGTTTCGTGAGACATCATTCTCATGTTTTTCTTTAGTTCCTTAGACATCGTTTCCTTTAGCTGTTTAACATATCTAAAATAGTTGATTTGAAGCTTGTTTCTGTTAAGACCAATGTCTGGATCTCCTAAGGGGTAGTTTTTATTAACTGGATTTTTTCTTTTCCATGTGCCATACTTTCTTGAGTTTTTTCTTTTTGTATGTCTCATAATTTTTTTGGATACCAGACATGTTAAACATGATAATGTGGCCACTCTAGAAACAAGAGTCTCCCTCCTTTCCACATTGTATTCCTTGTTGTAGTTATTTGTTTGTTCATTTAGTGTCTTTTCTGAATAAACTTTGTGGTCTCTATTTTTTGTCACCTATGTTCATTAAAATATTTTTTCATTAACTTAGAGGTCAGCTAATAATTTGACAAAGATTTCCATACATGTTTGGAACTGAAAATCTAGTCCTTGCAGAAGGGCTTTGTATATGTGTTGGGACTTGCTTTCAACACTCAGCCAGAGAGTTTACAACTGTGCCTTAGCCTACACTTTCTGCTTGTGCAGGGAAGGTAGAAATTTCCCAGGTTTTTACTGAACATGCACACAGCCCTGACATACATAGTTTTTTCAAATTCTCAGAAATATGTTGAAACTTTTCAAAGCCCATATTCCCCAAAGCATCTCATTCCCAGTACTTTCTCTCAAGTTTTTTGTTTAGTCTATTGTTTTCCCTAGTGCTCAGGCAGCAGCATTTATAATGTTTTTCTGTAAATGTTTTCATCCTGTATTCTGTAAATGTTTTCACCTCCCCACCCCACCAAGTAGCAGCTTTACCAGTGAGTGAGGTCCAGATTAGGTGAAAAAACAAGGCTTTTAAGAATATATTCCAGGGAGTCCACAGACAGATCAATTTTTCACAAATGAGGTCCATGCTGTTTCTTCTGGCATTGATATTAAGAATCTGGGCATTATTTTCAAGCCTACCGCTTATCTACGGAGTGAAGAATGGAAACAGGGTAAGTTAAAAACCACAAATCGATGTTCTTACTGAAACCAGATATTTTGCTTGAATTAGCACTCCCTAGATTGCTGAAAACCTTAGGTTAGTTTTCAGAGTTCTAAAAAGCTTTATTTTAACAGTTGTTGCGAGTGTTTTAGCATATTTTATAAAGATAAAATTTTGAAAATTTTTATTCCATTTTTGCTGATGTCACTACACCACAACCTTTTTATTACACTATTTATACCATATAATTTATTCATTGTACTATTATTACTACTTATTAGTCACAACAATTCCCAATATTGAAAATGAAGGACAATAAAATTCTCGTAATTTTAGTCAAAAGGATAATGGATTGAACCATCTAAAACTGACATTTTTGAAACTGAAAAAAATTATAGCTACAGTGGCACATTGTATTTTTCAAAAATGCATTTCTAAAAATTGTAGGTTTCTGAAAAAATATATTCCATCCCACAAGATCTTTTTATAATGTAACATTGATACGCCTCCACGGAGAGTTGAAGTCTATGTTCCCTCTGCTTGATCTGAGGCAAACCTTTGTAACTGCCTTAACTAATAAATACAATGCAGATAACGCTTTCTGACTTCTCAGGCTACATAATAAAAGGTTATATGACTTCTGTTTGTATCTTCCTCTCCAGAACCACTAGTTGAAAGACTGGAAATCTTAGCCAGAGCAATCAGGTAAGAGAAAGAAATAAAAGCCATCCAAATAGAAAGAGAGGAAGTCAAACTATCTCTCTTCACAGATGATATGACTCTGTAATGAGAAAACTCCATAATCTCTGCCCAAAGAGCTGATAAACAACTTCAGTAAAGTTTCAGGATGCAAAATCACTGTATTAAAAACCAATATCATTTCTATACACCAAGCTGTGAGCCACACCAAGAACAAAATCCAATTCATAATAGTTGGAAAAAAAAAATAAAAATACCTAAGAATACAGCTAACCAGGAGGATGAAAGATCTCTAAATAAGAATTATAAAACACTGCTGAAAGAAATCAGAGACGACACAAACAAATGAAAAAACATTCCATGCTCATGGATAGGAAGAATCAATATTGTTAAAATGGCCATACTGCTCAAAGCAATTTACAGATTCAGTGTTATTCCTATCAAACTTATCAATAACATTTTTACAGAATTAGAAAAAACTATTCTAAAAATCATATGAGTCCAAAAAAAAAAAAGAGTCTGATGAGTGAACGTAATCCTAAGCGAAAAGAACAACACTGGAGGCCTCACACTACCTGACTTCAAACTATATGACAAAGCTGCAGAAACCAAAACAACATGGGACTGGTACAAAAGCAGACACATGGACCATCGGAACAGAATCTCTAGTCCAGAGATAAAGATTGCTGTAACACAGAAATAAAGCTGCACACCTATAACCATCTGCTCTTTGACAAAGTTGACAAAAATAAACAATGGGGAAAAGACTCCCTGTTCAATAAATGGTGCTGGGATAGCTGACTAGCCATATGTAGAAGGATGAAACTGAATGCCTACCTTTCACCATATACAAAAAACTAACTCAAGATGGATTAAAGATTTCAATGTAAGACCTCAAACTATAAGAATTCTAGGAGAAAATCTAGGAAACGTCATGTTAGACATTGGCCTTGGGAAATAATGCATGACTAAGTCCTCAAAAGCAACTGCAACAAAAACAAAAATTGACAAGTGGAGCCGAATTAAACTAAAGAGCTTCTGCAGAGAAAAAAAAAAAAAAAAACTATTAACAGAGTAAACAGCAAACTACAGAATGGGAGAAAATATTTGCAAACCATGCATCTGACAAAAGTATAACATCCAGATGTATAAGGAATTTAAATCAACAAGCAAAAACAAAAACCTTTATTTAAAAATTTGGAAAACATGGACACTTCTCAAAAGCAGACATACAGAAAGACAGCCAACATATTTTTTTAAATGCCCAATATCACTAATAACTAGAGAAATGCAAACCAAAACCACAATGAGATCCCCTCTCACACCAGTCAGAATAGCTATTATTAAAAGTCAAAAAATAACAGACCCTGGTGAGACTTTGGAGGAAAGGGAATGCTTATACACTGCTGGTGGAAATATAGATTAGTTCAGCTACAGTGGAAAGTAGTCTGAAGATTTCTCAAAAAACTTAAAATAGAAGTGCTATTTGACACAGCAATCCCATTACTTAGTATATATCCAAAGGAATACCAATTATTTCACCATAAAGATACATGCATGTGTATGTTCATTGCAGCATTATTCACAATAGTAAAGACATAGAATCAACCTAGATGCCCATCAACAGTGGACTAGATAAAGAAAATGTTGCACATAGGCACCGTGGAATACTATGCAGCCATAAAAAAGAAAAAATCATGTCCTTTGCAGCAGCATGGATGCAGCTGGAGGCCATTATTCTAAGCAAATTAGCACAGAAACAGAAAACCAAATACCACATGCTCTTACTTAAAAGTGGAAGCTATTGGGAGGCTGAGGCAGGCAGATCATGAGGTCAGGAGATTGAGCGCCACTGCATGACAGCCTGGGTGGCACAGTGAGACTCTGTCTCAAAAAATATATATATATGTGTGTGTGTGTGTGTGTATATATATATGTAGACCATTCATATACACAGACCATTCATATGATGGTCTTATCCTTCACTCTCTATTATGTTCTGTTGAACTCTATGTTTCTCCTTATACCAGTATCACAATGTCTTCATTATTGTAGCTTTGTCTTGAAACAAGGTAGTCTAAATTCTCTGTCTTTATTCTACTTTTGAAAAATTATTTTGAATATTAGTCTTTTGGAATATTTATGCAAACCTAAAATTATTAAGGCATAAATTATTAATAAAGAAATAAATTAGTAAATGCTCGAAAATACATCAGCTAACATGAAAATGATCAAAAGTAGTCAAATAAAAGCTATATACAAGTTATTTATCTATGTATATAGAATTTTTCAAAAAAGATTGACACCATATATGAAAGTTTACAAATTTAAAAAAATTTCAATTCAGGGAAATGTGCCAATAAGGAATTGATCAGAAGGTAAATTTGTTTTGGGTAAGTTGGATTTTGGTCAATTGATTCTTAATTAAAGGCATGCTCTTAAGCTTTCAATGTTTTGTTGCTATGTGGTGGGTTAGGGTGAAAGATTAGGGAATCTCTTTAAGCTATAGGCTCAGAGTCTTTTGACAGGAGCTGCGCACTTTACTCTGTCTTTTATCTTTCAAGTCTCCTGATCTTACTTGTCCTGTTGTATGAGATAATTATACAGTGGATCAATAACAATTAAAAATATTTGTTTTCAATGTGAATTAAGTGTATCCACCTTTCAGATGTGATTAAGAACACCTCACACAAGTGACAGCCTCTCTTTTAAGGACTAACTTAATAAAAAAAAAAATAGCTTTTCATAAATGGACCTTAGGCAATACTCTTGTCCCTCTTGAAAAAAAAAAAAAAAAAAAAAAAAAGTGTGTATTATGGAAATGTTTCCTTACAAGCCCTAGGACTTTTGTAATAAGGATGTTCTATACTCACATGGCCTTACTTCTTGGCCCCATTCAAAAAAAAAAATTAATTAAAGGTATTAATTAACCTCTGGTGAAACTGAGAGCCATAGAAAAAGGAAAGGGTTAACCATCTGGTTTCCTACAATTAGGTTAATTTGTCACCAAATGTAGAGACTCTAGAGTTTGGAAACATTCCAACGGAAGCTGTTTTATTTCCTTATTGTTAAGCTTCACTGACCAAGAGGAACCTCAAGCCCCCAGATGTAAATAAAAGCCCCTGCCTTCCACCAGCCCTGATCATTCACCTCTCTATTGGGCACTCAGCCATGAAACTCCATTCCCTTCTTTCTGTTCTCCTCCTCTTTGTGACTTTAATACCAAAAGGTAAGATGGTGAATGATTTTAGAAGTCTATTGGGATGCCTAGACCAGAGGAGGTCTATTGAGATAATTATACTGTGGCCATCCTAACTCAGACCCCAATTCACAGCCTTAGGAATTCAGAAATCCAACATGTTTTATCTTCTTTGGTACTAATGAGGCCAAAATTCAGAAGCAGCACAAGGAGTTCTTTCAACAGAAAATGGGGGTTCAAGAGCTCGATAATTAGAAAACGGGGCCGAAATAGAGTTAGGGGTATAGAAGCTTTGATATGTGATTTAAATGTTAGTAAATATAGCAAATAGCTATCATCAAGATCTCACTCTCCAAAAAGGAGAGTGAAGATGATAGTTCTTGGTTCAAACTTGGTAGTGAATGGAAGTGATATAGAGTCTATTGGTGAGGAATATTTGGGAAGGGCAGCAGTTAGGCAAATAAGACAGAATTCAACAAGACAGTTTTGCATCAAATTATAAAAGACCAATAGAAATTTGGGAGCAGGGGAATTTGGAAAAAGAATAAACTGACATGAAGCTTCAATGGCAAAATTTTAAGCATAAGACAAATAATATAGAAAACACTTTCAGGCTCTTAATTGCATCCTTAGGGTCCATGATTCCGAAGTTTAAATATTGACATGTAGAATCAAACTGAAAAGGGAATATAGAATCGAACGTCTTCAGGGTGTTTCATCCAGATCCTGGTAAGATCTGATAAAATTATTATCTCCACGGTTAGTAGTGGGATATTCATATCCCTCGAAATATAGTGTGTGGTCAATGAACAAAGATCTCTTCCTTGCTTTATCTCTGAGATTATTTTTTAAATAATTTCAACTTATATTGTAGATTCAGGAGGTACATGTGCAGGTTTGTTATGTTGGTATATTGTGTGATGTGAGGTTTGGGGCAAGATGGTGATCCTATCACTCAGGTAGTGAGCATAGTAGGAAATAGTCAGTTTTTCAATCCTTGTTCCCCTCCCTCTGCACTTTAGTAGTCTCCAGTGTCCCATCTTTATGTCCATGAGTATCCAATGTTTAGCTCCCACTTATAAGTGAGAACATGCATTATTTGGTTTTCTATTTCTGCATTAATTTACTTGGGATTACGTCCTCCAGCTGCATCCATGTTGCTACAAAGGATATGATTTTGTTCTTTTTTATGGCTGCATAGTATTCCATGGTGTATATGTACCACATTTTCTTTATCCAGTCCACCATTGATGACCACTTAGATTGATTCTTTGTCTTTACTATTGTGAATAGTTCTGTGATGAACATAGGAGTGCATGTATGTTCTGAGTAGAATGATTTATTTTCTTTTGGACAATATACCCAGTAATGGAATTGCTGGGTTGAATGGTAGCTCTGTTTTAAGTTCTTCGAGAAATCTTCAGGCTGCTTTCCACAGTGGCTGAACTAATTTACATTCCCATTACCAGTGTATAAGCACTCCTTTTCTCCACAGCCTCATCTGCATCTCTGTTATTTTTTGACTTTTTAACAATAGCGATTCTCACTGGTGTAAGATAGTTCTCATTGTGGTTTTCATTTTGATTTGCATTTCTCTAGTGATTAGTGATGTTGAGCTATTTTTCATGTTTGCTGGCTACTTCTATGTCTTCTTTTGAGAAGAGTCTGTTCATGTTTTTCATGTCTTTTTCCCACTTTATTTGTTTTTTGCTTGTTGATTTAAATTCCCTATAGATTCTGGATATTAGATTTTTGTCAGATGCATAGTTAGCAAATATTTTCTCCCATTCTGTTGTTTTCTGTTTACCATTAATAGTTTTCTTTTTCTCTGCAGAAGTTCTTTAGTTTAATTCAGCTCTACTTGTCAATTTTTGTTTTTGTTGCAATTGCATTTGAGTACTTAGTCATAAATTATTCCCCAAGGCCAATATCTAGAATGGTGTTGCTTAGGTTTTCTTCTAGGATTCTTACAGTTTGAGGTCTTACATTTAAATATTTAATTCATCATGAGTTAATTTTTTGTATATGGTGAAAGATAGGCATCCAGTTTTATTCTTCTGCTTATGGCCGGCCAGCTATACCAGCACCATTTATTGAACAGGGAGTCCTTTTCCCATTGCTTTTTTTGGTCAATTTTGTCAAAGAGCAGATGGTTATAAATGTGCAGCTTTATTTCTGGGTTCTCTATTCTGTTCCAGTAGTCCATGTGTCTGCTTTTGTACCAGTCCCATGCCGTTTTAGTTACTGTAGCCTTATAGTATAATTTGAAGTCAAGCAGGATGATGCCTTTAGTGTTGTCCTTTTTGCTTAGGATTATTTTGGTTGTCTGAGCTCTTTTTCAGTTTTGTATGAATTTTAGAATAGTTTTTTCTATTCTGTGAAAAATGTCATTGGTAGTTTGATAGGGATAGCACTGAATCTATAAATTGCTTTGGGCAGTATGGCCATTTTCATTGATTCTTCCAATCCACAGCAGGGAATATTTTTCTGTTTGTGTCATCTATGATTTCTTTCAGTAGTGAATTGTAGTATTGCTTATAGAGATCTTTCACCTCCTTGGTTAAATGTATTCATGGGTATTTAATTTTTTGTGTAGCTATTGTAAATGGGATTGCATTCTTGACTTGGCTCTCAGGTTGAACATTATTGGTGTATAGAAAGGCTACTGATCTTGTACATTGATTTTGCATCCTGAAATTTTACTAAAGTTGTCTATCAGGTCCAGGAGGCTTTGGCAGAGTTTTTAGGGTTTCCTAAGTGCAGAATAATATCATCAATAAAAGGAGGTAATTTGACTTCTTCTTTTCCTATTTGGATGCCTTTTATTTCAAAAGGCTGATTGCTCTGGCTCATATTTCCAGTACTGTGTTGATTAGGATGGTAAGAGAGGGCACTCTTGTCTTGTTCCAGTTCTGAGATTCTCTTAAGTGCAATCAAAGCTACTCAGTTGTTTGATCTTTACCTAATCTGTGGATTTGCTGAGATCTGCCTCACACATGATTACCTCCTTCTGAAGGAGCTTATGCAATTCTCATTTGGTTCTCAGCTTTGGTCAGAAGATACAACTGAGGTCAGATACACTTGTAGTGTCATCTGATGTGAAATTATGTGATGGTAATAACTTCAAATTAGAACAAAATTGAATGGCAATTGTTTTTATTTTAGATAATAAGACCCATGTACAGATAAAGAATGTGATTTTACTCAAATCACATAGGTAGTAGCAACACTGCAGCTAAAAGCAAATCTCTTTAATCTGGGTCAATGTTGTTTTTAATATAATCCGTAGGTGTAGATATCCATACAAAAATGATAACTGATTTCTGTCAGACTTTTTTCTCAAAATCTTCTCATTATACATTGAGGAAACTAAGGAGGTTTTCTGCTATATGTGACAACATGGATGAACCTGGAGGACATTATGTTAAATGAAATAAGCCAGTCACAGAAGACAAATACTGCATGATTCCACTTACATGAGGTACCTAAAATAGTCAAACTCATGGAAACAGGTAGCAGAATGTGGTTTCCAGGGATGGGGGAGGGAGGAGGAAATAGGGAGTTGCTGTTTAATGAGTAAAAGTTTTCAGTTTTATTAGATGAATAAGCTCTAAAGATTGACTGTACAATATTATATCTATAGCGTTTAAAAATTTCTTAAGAAGGTAGATCTCACTTTAAGTGTTATTACCACAATAAAATAAAGGACAAAGAACAAGAGGTTATTTGAAGTTGAAAGCTGAGTTAATCTCCCCACAAATATGACAAGAATCCTTCAGAGGCCTGTCTTTCAGGCTGTGACATCTTCCTTCCTGTGGGAATAGAAATATCAGCCCTTGTCTGATCCTCCCAAATCAGTTATACCAGGAAGAAGAATTAAATGAGAGTCCTGTAATTCTGCACGGGAGCGAATCACTTTTGAATAGCAAGGTTTCTTGTGTCAGAGGATATTAAAGCCATATGTAAAGGTCAAAATGACTTACTTGTGCATATTGAGATGTTCTTGGACACATTAACATTATCCAGTGGGACCCAGAACACTCAGGTTGAAAAATAGGAATTTCATTATCAGTTTTGTATGGTCTCTTAGTACTAAATAGTTAACTGTTGAGCTGTCTATACAATTTAATAATACTGTACTCCAAAAATTCTGATTTTAATCTCTGCTGTGACTGTTGGGCATATAGAATATATCAGTTGCCTAGAAGCATTCTGATAATCTTAGAAACTTTATAACTCCTATATAACTTCTGTCTAACAAAATTTCTTTTTTTTTTTTTTTTTTTTTTTGAGGCGGAGTCTTGCTCTGTCGCCCGGGCTGGAGTGCAGTGGCCGGATCTCAGCTCACTGCAAGCTCCGCCTCCCGGGTTTACGCCATTCTCCTGCCTCAGCCTCCCGAGTAGCTGGGACTACAGGCGCCCGCCACTCCGCCCGGCTAGTTTGTTTTTTTTTTTTTTTTTTTTTGTGTGTGTGTGTTTTTAGTAGAGACGGGGTTTCACCGTGTTAGCCAGGATGGTCTCGATCTCCTGACCTCGTGATCCGCCCATCTCGGCCTCCCAAAGTGCTGGGATTACAGGCTTGAGCCACCGCGCCCGGCCGAACAAAATTTCTTTTAAGAAAAATTGAGTGGCTAGATCATGAAGAGTTTTGTTAAAGGCACTTTTACCCCCAAAATATCCAATTAAGTAAAAAAAAATTATTGTTTTTGTGAAAAAATTTCTCCAAAGAAACTGCATAATCTGAAATATTAGTTTATCAGCTTAATGTCTGATGAATATTACGTTATAACTACTCGAATATATGTTTTTATATATTTATTCAAAAAAGAATCCATGGTATCCTATAAAAAATTGGAATAGTTCATATAGATTTATATATACACACTAACATATATGTGCTGAGAATATGAGTCTAAAGAAGTTAGAATGGCCTAAATCTTGGATTGCTGCATTAGCTCTCTGAGAATTAAGAAAATTATAGCAATCTTCTCACACTGACTGTGGAGAGTAGCATAATATCTGAATACACGACATTGGACAGGAGCAGAAGACAGCTTGAACTCACGTTATGTAGAGAAAAGGAAACTGCGCTTCTATTTTTTGATTGATAAAGTTCCAGGAAGAGCCTCTCCATTTAAATCCTCTACATCACCCAAAAAAAACATAAAAAAAAAAAAACTTAAAAGTTACTGACTCAATGAGTTCTAACGCTAAGAAATTTATATCCTTTTAGAAAGTAGATGAATGTGCTATTAAGGGTCTTTTTCAGTGTGATTCTAAGTTTTCTCACTTCATCCACAGAAATTAATGTTGTGATATAATATGAAGTGAACATCTAAATTGTTTCTTTTTCCAAAAGCACTTATTAAATATGCATCCTTTCTCCAACTGCCATGTGATATAACCATTATAATGTATTAATGTCAAATAAATTCTAAAGTGTATTAGAGAGTGCTTCTCTTTCTCTTCTTTTGCACTATGTGTGTATACTTCTGTCAATAAGTCTGAAAATAAATGTGAATATCTGGGAAGAAATTCCCTTCCTCATGAATGAGGGCTATGAATCTGAATATGAATCAAGTAATTTAATCTTATCTTCTTGACTTACACTAGTGCCCTTAGCATGACGATATGTCACAGTCATCAGTAAAAAGGGCAATTATAACTCTTTGGCTTCATGCTCAGAGTATACCTTCTTAAGTTAAGCTTCAGGCTTCATGCTCAGAGCATACCTCCTTAGATTCCCATAGAGCAAGAAGCACATCACTGGTAGGATGAATTGTTCCACTCATTTTGAGTGAAGCAAGGGACATCTCCCAAATAGAGGAATCGGCACTATCTTAGGCTACACGCTGTGTCAGTAGGCTGAACTTCACTGTATAGTGGGTTAAACATCTCTACCCTACTGAGAGGAAGTTCACTCTTTTGGCTTCAGCTGAAGATTCACATTCCACCTCATTTTGCATGGGATGCCTCTAAGTTCACATGCATAGGCCTCCTTGATGCCATACTCTGCCTCTTATTATATCTTTCCCAGTACTAATAACTCCTGATTTTAGCTGCATTTTAAAAGTCTGGCAATGTTGCCAGATGTTAAATGTATGGATGAAGTTATCAGGGAAAAGACCAACAGCTAGCAACAGGTCTGCTATGCTTCTGAGCATGAAGCCTGTGTTCTGTGTAGACAATGCAATAGAACCAGCACCTTCCACAACTGGCTGGGGAGACTTCAGGTCTCTCTGAAAGGCAGCCACTTTCTCTTCCACAATAGTCTTGGGAAAAAAAGGTAATATTACAAGATATTACCCAACTCTCCCATCATGACATTCTCTTGTTACGGAGAAACCCTGAATTTATGAACTACTAGTCTGATAGTAGAGTATAATACCAGACTGCACTAGGTTGAAGCTTCTTACATGGGTAGAAGACAGTCTTGCACAGGTTACGAGCACTCAGTTCCAAAAGGCTGCTTTGGTTTTTCTGGCTGTGGATCTATTTCTACAGAGTAGAGAAACAACAATGATAGCCTAGTTTAAATACAAAACAGTCACAAACAACAAAAAAAAAGATTGAGAGCTGAAAAGGCCATCAAACTGTTACTCATCTACAGAAGCAAAGAAGCCAGAGGTAGTATATTACACAACAGTAAAAACAAAATAAGATCCAGGTGTGTTAACTGGATAGTTCGGGAACTAATGTCTGTTAATGAACATCAGCAAAAGTGTGTTTCTTATATAACATCTGCTGTGATATACAGTAGGAAAAATAAACTATGGTTGTGCTGAGAAGGCAAGAGAAAGGATAGTAAGCATAAAGAAAACTACTGAATTAGAGCACGCCCTTAGTCATACGCTTCTCAACAACCAGATGAATTAAGATAACATATGGATACACTTAAGGGAAAATACCTTTTAGCTCAATGAGTAATTCTCTCCAGGTGTCTGTCTGTCTATCTATCTATCTATCTATCTATCTATCTATCTATCTATCTATCCCTCCCTCCATTGATCTATGAGGTATTGAGCAACATGGGAAAGATATTTCTTACATAGTCCTGAAATGAGGAAATTAGTTTAGATAAAATCTAAAGGATTGATAGGCTTTCTATGAAAGGATATGAAGATATGAACGCGCACCATTTGATAGGGATGATGTACACACAGATGGGAAGATGGAGGGACAGATACTTCCTTTGAAGCTGTTTCTTAGTGGCGGCATTGTTGGTGTTTGGTGAAAGACAATTCCTTAGGTGAAAAATGTAGCAGTGCTGTGCTTTTTGCTAAATACCAAAGACAAGACACCTTCCCTAGGCATGGAGGCAAGAACAAATGGTCCCACACATTTCAAAATGTACTGCTCTAGGGGAGGACAATCCCTTTAAAGGATTTTAGAAGTTGGCCTATTTCCTCCAAGGTGTATATAATCTACAATCTTAGCTCCCTTCCCATAAAAAGGCACTATTTCTGTCTACATGTCTGATCCTTTCATATAGACAATGTTTTCTTTCCTCTCCCAAAGCCATTCTTCTGGGGGTTTATTGTTTTATGTATATTTTCAATAGTGAATTAATGATGTTCTTAAATCTCTTTCTGCGCAGGAAAGACTGGCGTTATTCCAGGACAAAAACAGTGTATTGTTTTGAAAGGGGTGTGCAGAGACAAAGGCTGCAGCACACTAGATGATACCATTGGTACATGTAATGAAGAAAAAAAATGTTGTAGAAGGTGGTGGATACTTGAGCCCTATCCAACTCCAGTTCCCAAAGGAAAATCTCCTTAAGTGGGAGCAAACATTAAGCCCTTTGAACTCCAGAATGGATAATTTTGCAGACTCCTATTTAACCCAATTTCTGATTCTTCCTTGACTGGAAATAAATGTTGTCCTAATCGCACGTGTACTGACTGCCTTCTGGAGCATTTCTTCTTGAGATACATGCAAGCCTCTTAAGAACGATGAGAATAAACTAAATAACAGAAGAATCTCATACCCAACAGGTATTTATAAAAAATATAAGTTTCTAAGAAAAATAAAGATAAAAATGTTAAATATGTAAAACAATAAGATTATGAAGTAGCAGTAGGCAGTGTTTGATTATTTGAAGTGCAATGTCAACCTTCTTCCTCATCCACTTCTGAACAAATATGATTTTCATTACTAATAGAGACCTACTTAGATAATATGGGTTAAAGCCTGCTAATCATGTGACCTTGCTAACATTGCACCTGAGAATTAGGTACATGACCATTCCAGTCATTCCAGCACTTGAAGCAGGTCTCGCCTCTCCTGCCCCCTGCCCCTAGAGAAGTAGAAGGGAAGACCTGCTTTCTACAAGTAGGCTCACCAGGAGGAGCTGTAGAGCTGAAGAGTTGCTAACTCAGCATGCCGGGTTAGTTCTTTCCAAACTCTCCATCAGATAACTCCATTTTCTGGGACCAGAACAATTAAAGGGCAGGAAGGATACCAGGAGTATGACGTGGCATGAGTGCCACAAAGATGGAAGACATCTAGAATGAGGCCAAATTACTCCACAAACAAAATTCAAGAGTTTGTGTGTTTTTTTTAACCACAAAGCTTATGGTCAATGAATCAGGGGAGGGTGGGTTATCTCCCTATGCAGAGAAGATGTCAGGAGTCTATTAAAATAACTCTAATCGCATCTTCATGGATCTGTTTCTTCAATACTAATCATTGCTTTTTCTATATCTTCTCAGAATCACTCACGAACAGCGTATTACTCTGAGATCAGATTCTAAGCTAATCTCAGAATAATACGCTAATACAATTTTTACCATATGCATTTTACGCATAGCTGAAAAGTCACATCTTCTCTTCTTTGTCATCTTATGTGCCACTACATTATCCAGTGTAACACATTAGAGATTCTTTGATAATTAAATGACATTAGGAGACTTTAAAAGTCATAAATACCCTCCTATATTAAAATGCTAAAAAAGAAAAATTTCCCATATTTGAATATAAACAAGTCTCCTTATAAAATTTCTAGGCATAAATTGAAGTTCAAAGATTGAATATCTTCAATCTCTATGTTGAAGCCCAAAGACATTAGAATCCAAATGAATTACTGCCTGAAATGAAATTATCGTCCCCTCCTTAAGTTTTCTATTAAATGTAAGCAAAAAAAATCATCATTCATTTCTTATTCTCCATCTTAGTGAATTAGTGAAAGTTTCTTCAGAGACTTGACACTGAATAAATATAACATCTCAACTCACTGAAGCAAAAAGAACTTTTTCTGTTTTTTTGTTTTTTTGTTTTTTTGTTTTTTTTGAGATGGAGTCTCGCTCTGTTACCCAGGCTGGAGTGAGTGGAGCGATCTGGGCTCACTGCAAGCTCCGCCTCCCGGGTTCCCGCCATTCTCTTGCCTCAGCCTCTTGAGTAGCTGGGACTGCAGGCGCCGCCATCACGCCCGGCTAATTTTTTTGTATTTTTAGTAGAGACGGGATTTCACCGTGTTCACCAGGATGGTGTCGATCTCCTGACCTCGTGATCCGCCCGTCTCGGCCTCCCAAAGTGCTGGGATTACAGGCGTGAGCCACCGTGCCCGGCCAGAACGTTTTTTATCCCTGAGCAAGAAGGAAAAAAAGGTAAGGGAAATGAAAAAGATAAGGAACAAAAACAATCAGTCCAGAAAAATCTAATTTCTCTTTTTTTTTAAGTGAGAGAAAGTTTATTAAGAAAATAAAGAAATAAAAGAATGGCTACTCCACAGGCAGGGGAGCCTCTAATTTCAAATTCTGGTTGTTGTTCTTAATTTTCTTTCTAATGACACTCTCGATTTTACCATACAATATTGGCCATTTAATAAAGAAGTTCAGGGACAGACAGTAAAATATAAAGTCGAGCAATATTTCTGATCTCCAGCACCATCAACATTTTGACAAGAACAATTTTTTGCTGTGGGGAGCTTTCCTGTATATTGTGGGATGTTTAGCAGCCTTTCTTGCCTCTAAAACATATCTCCCACCTGTGACCAAAACAAACAAACAAACAAAAAACCTCTACACACTACTAAAAGTCCTCTGAGGGCAACATTGTCCCTAGCTGAAAACCGCTATAGTAAAGAAATCATCAGTTAAAGGTAAAAGTAAATAGGAGTTAGAAAATTCACTCAAATAGAGACCTTTGCCTGTAAACTTTCAAAAAGTAAGACAACATCACATATAAAATAATAGATCAGAAATGTCTTCTGACAATCCAAAGATGAATTATGTCTCTTTATTTGAAAGATATAGATCTAAAGATAACCCTTTTGGTTTTTTACTGCTGTGCCAGTTGTTAGAAATACCTGACCATATCTTAACCATTGAGATTTTAGGGCAATATTGCTCTGATACCTCATCCAGAGGTGCAAAATCCACATTTTAGGGACATTTAAAAGATTTCTGGGAAAAGGCTGTCTGTGACTTTTGATGATAAGACTGGATGAATTACATGCAATCTCTTGGATTACTTGACTATATCTTCTGCAGAGGGCTATATTTACTGTATACAATTATATGATTCTGTGCATGGAATTAGTTTTATATTGATACTAATTTATGAGGGTACTAATTTATTAGTATTATATTGATACTAATTTATGAGGGTATAGTTGATAAACCCCAAAGGAGTTAATTTTATTGTTATATAAAGGCAAAGGCAGGCCGGATGCAGTGGCTCACAACTGTAATCCCAACACTTTGGGAGGCCAAGGCGGGTGGATCACCTGAGGTCAGGAGTTCAAGACCAGCCTGGCCAACATGGCAAAACCCTGTCTCTACTAAAAATACAAAAATTAGCCAGGCATGGTGGTGGGTGCCTGTAATCCCAGCTACTCGGGAGGCTGAGGCAGGAGAATCGCTTGAACCCAGGAGGCAGAGGTTGCAGTGAGCCGAGATTGCGCCACTGCACTCCAGCCTGGGCGACAGAGCGAGACTCCATCTCAAAAAAAAAAAAAAAAAAAAAAAAAGGCAAAGGCAATACTATATATCATGAAAGCTTGAGATACGCTCAGACCTTTGCCAGTTGTACATTTACAAGTTCAATTTTGTTCTTTCTATCTTTCTGGAAAATTTGGTATCATCGAGACAATAGAGTTTCCTAATAAATGGCAAGTCACAAAAATACTTGAAAATAGTCCAAGTAAAATGGATTTTACTATCCCTATAAAAAGATTGCAATTTCCATATTCAAAATACAAAATAAAATATTTTTGCTGCTATTAGAACCATAGCTCATATAACCTTGAAAGGTTTTTATATATGTAAAGTAGTAAAGTAGTATGACACCCAATGATAGACTGTGATGAGTTAAAGAGCAATACTATGAACACTAAAGCAACTCTTAAATAACACAACAAACAGTTTAATAACAAAAAAAAAATTGAATAGTCACAATGACCCAACTACTTGAAAAAAAGAAGAAAAAGAAAACAGAGAACAAATGAAACAGGACATGTGTAAGATGGCTAAGTAGAAGGTCTCCAGCCTTCATCCACCCACACAACACTGATTTGGCAACCATCCATGAATAAAATGTCTTTGTGGGAACATCAGGACCCAGTCAGGAGGTCATGACAATCCACTAGAGCCCAAGACCAAGGAAAACTGCTTTGAGAAGGCAGGACCATGCCCCTGGAAGTAGGCTCACCAATCATAGACCTGGCCATGAACACAGAAACACCGCCATCTGCCTGTGGACCCTGCTGCAGCCCTACTTACATGTGGTTCCAGATGCAGCCTCAAAAGTCATCCCCAAAAGTCATTCAGGAGCAGGTTGTTTAATTTCCATATAACTGTATGGTTTTTAGTGATTTTCCTAATATTTATTTCCATTTTTATTGGGATGTGGTCAGAGAGTGTGGTTGGTATAATTTCGAGTTTTTTGAATTTGCTGAATATTGTTTTATGGCCAATCACATGGTTGATTTTAGAGTGTGTACCATGTGCAGATGAGAAGAATGCATATTCTGTTGTTGGGTGGACTGTTCTGTAGATGTCTTTTAGGTCCGTTTCGTCAAGTGTCGAGTTAGGGCCCAAATATCCTTGTTACTTTTCTCTCTCAATAATCTGTCTAATGCTGTCAGTGAGGTGTCGAAGTCTCCCACTATTATTGTGTGGTTATCTGTCTTTTTGTAGTTCCCTCATAACTTGTTTTATGAATTTGAGTACACTTGTCTTGGGTGCATATATATTTAAGACGGTTAAGTCTTCTTGTTGAATTGAACCCTTTACCATTATGTAATGCCCTTCTTTATCTATTTCTATCTTTGTTGGCTTAAAGTCTGTTTTGTCTGAAATTAGAATGGCAACCCTACTTTTTTTTTCCCATTTGCTTGGGAGATCTTTCTTTGAGCCTTTACATTGAGCCTATGAGTGATGGGTCTCACATGCAATGACACCAAAGACAGCATACAGTTGGGGCTTGCTTCTTTATCCACCTTGCCACTTTGTGCCTTTTAAGTAGGGCATTTAGTCCATTTGTGTTCAAGGTTAATATTGCTATGTGTGGATTTGATCCTGTCATTGTGTTGTTAGCTGGTTATTATGCAGAATTCATTGTGCGTTGCTTTATAGTGTCAATATCTATGTAATTAATTGTGTTTCGTGGTGGCTGGTATTTCATTTCCATATTTAGCACTCCCTTAAGGACCTCTAGTAAGGCGTGTCTGATGGTAACAAATTTCCTTAGCATTTGCTTGTCTGAAAAGGATTTTATTTCTCTTTTGCTTATGAAGTTTAGTTTAGATGGATATAAAATTCTTGGTTGGAATTTCTTGTCTTTAAGAATACTGAATGTAGGTCCACAGTCTCTTCTGGCTTGTCAAGTTTCAGCTTAACAGTCCACTGTTAGCCTAATGGGATTCCCTCTGTGAGTTACTTGTTCCTTTTCTCTAACTGCCTTTAATATTTTTTCTTTCATGTCAACCTTGGA